CTAACAAATTGGTGTCAGAAGTGGAACGAAAAAAAAATGGAAACGAGAGGCGGAAAATCAAACTACAGCCTAGCAGACTGAGTCATTAATTATTAAAATTATGTTACTCAAGTATTATGTAATATCAAATATTGTGTATTTAACTGATGTGACACATTTAATTGTGAAATGAAAGCATGTGTTAAAAAATAGTAAACATTATAATGTATTCAATGCATTCAATTGAATTTTTAAAAATATAAACAGCAAAATCAAGTTATAGTTACTAACAAATGAAATACCTATATATATATATATATATTTAAAACTAGATGTTTTCATATTTTTCTTTTTATATCAGTTTGGAAACTACCATTAAACAAAGTATGCAAGAACTGAGTGCTTTGCTTGCTGGTGTAAAAGGAAGTGGTCATGTCGCAATGAATCAAAATGCCCAACGGTCAGAAGTGACTGCTGAAGCTGATCATATACTTCATCCAATCATGGACATTCTTGATGGTAAACTCACCATGTTTGCTCAAGTCTGTGAACGAACTGTACTGAAAAGGTTGCTTAAGGTTTGTACAACTGTTTCAACCTACAAAATGGTTTGATCAAGAAAGGTTTTAAATACAGTGAATTAAAGTATACATGTGTTTTCTTTAAGTTTGATAAATAATATTAGAATTACTCAAAGTAGTACTGACCGAGTGCTGTTTACTGTTAAAAAGTCATTGTTATACTTTTTTACTGATTGATATACGAAACAATATTGATGAAATATTGATACCTAATATCTTTGCTCCCTCAATACTAATGAACCAGTACCATTAAACAATAATGGTAAAAAGTGTTACTACTTATCACTTTCTTGTTTAGCCACCTTTAAAACAATAACAAGGTAAATGATGATGATTTCAGTATTGATGATGATGTATTAAATATCCATTCTAAGATTAAGATGAAATTTATAAAAGTTCTAAGAACATTTTGTGGACACATAATCATAGACAATCTTTATCAAAACAATTTGTTATTAAAATTTAACTTAAATTTGGCAATAATAAATAGAGATTCTAAATACTTTGTATGTATAATAGCACTGATAATATTTTTGGCTTTTATATCATTTGTGTAATATAATCTTTTCTAATTTAGTGAAGCTTACTCTGTTTGAAGACTTATGAAACATTAAAAAATATGAAAGGGCATTACAGGTTCAGGTCTGGAGTTATGATCATAGATTTATGATGTTGCCTATAAGTAAATATTATAGAGCTAAAGGAATCCAAATTGTTAACAAAGAGTATGTTATTCTAAACTTATCCTATGCTCAGATCTTGATTTTGTTTATAGGATATATGGAAAATTGTAATGCATATTATGGAAAAAACTGTAGTTTTGCCACCCAACTCAGAGAAGAATGTAAGTACATGATTCCAAGATATGGAAATGAAACATTTTATGAAGTTTTTAACACTTTTTTAGACATTAAACGTTGCATAATTCTGCCAGAGTTGGTATTCTATAGTGTCATAGTCATAAAATATATCTACTAAAATTGATATTATATATTGTTAAGGCTAGATACATACGAGTTCTTCCTCTTCTTCTTTCTTTATACGGTAAAAGGTTGTTTTTTTATTGTCGTCTTGCTGGGTTGGTGATTTACATTGCCTAAGCTACATATTACAAAGGGTTGTCCATGATATATGGTAACAATTTGCAACAACAATCATCTAGCCATTAGCCAACCATGTGGCCTTTGACTACACAGATTAAAAGTCCTAACCCTCTGGTTGCAAATCAGTTAAAGTTTGATGATGTGCATATGTAGATGATGCATAAAATTCTCAGGGCTTACCTTAGAGGATTTTCCCATATGGTAATAATGCACATAATAGCTTCTCTCATTCAGTTCTATATGCACACATTTTTTTGCTTGCCACTAGTTTTGAAACTCCCACCTATCCTACATTCAGTGTGGTTCTACTGTTTCTTTGTATTCAAATAAGTCCTTGTCCTACTACAGACACAATGTAATAATTGGTCGGAGTATCCCTGGTGTACCTCCTTCATCAAGCTGAGGCTTGGGTGTTCAGTATTGCAAGGAGCTAGACTGACCAATAGCTACTCTTGTTGGCTGGAGTACCCTCGACATACCACTTGGACCAGGAACCAGAAGTGCGGTTGTTTTTGGATTTGATTGAACCACCACACGGACACTTCCTATTCTACTGTTGTTTAGATGTCTGGTTCCTGAGTGACTGGTGTTGGTTGAGGATTTGTGCACACGTGCTCTGTCTAGTCAGACAGAACAGAACATCTTCCCTTCTGTCTCATAGGCTTGAGATTAAGATGGTAGGGACCCTCTTCCTACCAAGAAACAGATGATAAATACCTGATGCTGCCTGGTTTTGGAGTTGACACATCCTAGCCATTCTACACCATGGGGCATATATCTGTTTAATTTTCCCTTCTATTACTATATTTGGTCAGGAACTCTCCATCCTGCTATCTTCTGGATGTCAATTCCCGGGTATTTTTCTTAGGTGTTGAGCTAAACCAACCAACATGTAAACATTACTGGATGTGCCCCAACTCATTTCTGTCTATTTGTGCAGTACAACCTCATTGGGCTAAAAGTCTACCTGGTATAGATGTGGTGCAGTGGTCTCCCATGGATGTGTTGCTTTCTCAACATTCTTTGGATGCTTTCCAAAGGGTGCTCATATAGGTAATTTTTACACCTGTCCCTCTACCTCTTCAATGTGAGATGTTAGCTGTTATTTGAGAGAAGATAAAATACTGTATTAGAAGTTAGTATTTTCCTACACTGAAAATATATTTCTGATTGGTAATTACCTCTTTTCACACTTTTTGTCCTTCCTTTTTTGCCTAATCTTGAATTGAAGGTTAAGATGAATAGTACGGAGTGAGTAACCTGTGTCAGGAGAGTGTGTCATGCTCGTTTTGATGAAGGGTTGTTATACAAAGATGCAGTAGAACTATGTTAAATGTGGAGTAGGTGGGAATTTCAAGGCTAGTGAGGAGCAAAAAAGTTGTGTATATAGAGCCAGTACTGAATGAGTAGAGGTAAGTACCTATTGGAAATATGTTTTCAGTGTAGGAAAATATTAACTTTTGACTCATGGTTATAAAAGCATGCAAGGTGTGCATTTTAACGTTTTACAGTAAACAAGCTCATCAGGCTAAACATCTGTAGAAAAAATAGGATCTATGAACTGGAATAGTAACAGTAACAATCTGTAATAGTGAAACAAAAGCCATGTGTACAAGCTCTTCTAAAAGCACAATGTTAAATGGAGAACCAACTGTAAAAAGCTGTACAGACTGTATCTGGCACATGCCAATTGGAAATATATCATCACATTAGACAAAAGATATATCTGTTAAAGTGTCTGCAAAGGTCCAGGCAGACTATTACTGTCCAGCCAGTGATACAACATTACAAAAGTGTTGTATTGAGCATGACACAAACATTTTTTTAATGGATTTATGATAGTTGCAAGTCACAGTCAGGCATCTGAAGAAGTGAGAGTAATCCCAAAGTTAACTGCATTCTTTACCACAATAAAATAATACTTATCTATACATCTAAGTCAATATGACAGTTCCCTTTCAGTATGCAAATACAAATGGGAATTTATACTATACCACTCTCAGGCACCTCCCATGAATGTCTGTGTCTTTTGGTTATTCAAATGGCCCATGGAATTATCATCCATACACAGATGATAGGTTATGGCAATCATATATAGAGAACAGAAGCAACAGTAACCTTATGTATTGTATGAAAGCTTCTAGGAGTGAAGATATTGCTACAGAGCAGTAATGTGTAACCAGGGTCTCATATAGAACACTATCAGTGGTGGAAAGAGAGGTTGTAAGGCCTAGGGCACTCATATTTTTATAACTACTATAGATCATGAACACTTCTGTAGTCATGTCCAAGTTTGTATTGTAAATTTTTGAGGCTGCCTGATAATTTGACATACACTGTCAAGCCTGCATAACAGTTCTTTCAAGTTTCATACTTTTAAAGTTAGAGTTCCATCATTGTATTCTTTCAGTGCTTTCAACAGTAACCATAGTATATTTTGTGTTGTGTGAACTTAATCACGAAGTTTACTGTTAAATAATTTGTGCACAGAAATTATTACATTTTCGCTAACTTATTGATTGGCATGATACAAGTGTTATTTATTTAAATAAAGTTTTTGTTGCATATACTTCCAAAATAATTTAAATTTTAGAACAAAATATTTTTTCCATGCTAAATGTGCAAAATATTATAAACATAAGTATTTTCTACTAAAGTGTGTAAAAGTATTTTTTTTGTATCAATCTCTTTTATTATAGTTAATCTTAACAAACTTGCCAAATGCCAAAATTGAAGATGTGTCTAGATTATTCAGAAACCACGTGACTGCAAACAGGTTACCAGCATTAGGTGGAGTGGTAAGTAAAGAATGTGATTAGATATTTCTAATTTACTCAATCAATCAATGTATAGATATCAGTTTCACCCATGCTAAATTCACTTATAAATACTGTTGTTTCTTAGTAGCAACTGAATTTTCTTAATAATCACAAAACTTATTTGAAATAAAAAGATTCTACTATATTTGCCTGAACATAATGCACCCCCGACAATAATGCGCACCCAATTTTGAAAGGATAAAATTAAGAAAATTTATTTCTTTACACATCAGTTATACAAAATATATTGAATAGGTTCTAAATACAGTAAATAACTATCGAGGTATTAAATATTTTTGGAAATCTTTCATTAAAATTTTTTTACGTGTCAATTTTACTAAATTTATTGAAAAGTTTATATGTGGTAATACACTAAGCTAATCATTCATCTTCACATAAATCTTTGTCATCGCTGGAATTGTCATTACCATCAGATTCATGAGATTTGCTTTCTTGAACCTTTGCTTCATCCTCTTCTGATTCACACAGCATGTCATCATGCATCTTATCCATTGCATTGGATATGCAACATTTTTTAAACCTTTAATGATTTTTTGTGGTAGCTTTTAGTAAAATAGCTAAGAAAATTGAATGTGCATGTATATAATGTGCAGTCAATTTTTTGGGAGGTATTTGGAGGAAAAAAAGTGTGCATTATATTCAGGCAAATAAGGTAAATCATTTGTGATAAATATGCTAAGTTTTTTGTTATAAGAAAAAAGTTTTGAAATAAGAGATACTGATCTCTTTTAAAGAGTTTCTTCATAATAATATAAAGATGGTCTACATATACAAATAGTCGTCCACATGTTTTCTATTTTATGCAATGTTGTGAATATTTATTTCATGTCATGAATCAGTTTATATGTCACCATTTACAAAGGTTTTCAGTTAAAAAGCTGTAGATGTCAGGGGAGTTTTAAACTAAAATTGTTTTCAGACAATTTTTTGTTTGTTCACATGCCACTCACTAATTGTAATTAACCATCACTTTCTGCATACAGGAATTAAACCAATAACAAAACTTAAAATTAGGTCTCAAGTGAAAAAAAAAGGTTACTCTTCACAAGCTCACAAAACTATACAATGTGCAAGTGTATGTGCACTAATTATTAATTATTCCACAGTTTCTACACAAATCAGTTGAGAATTTTCATGTTCGAACATTTAATGTTTCTTCTGTATTACTGTGTCTGTTTGACCCATTCATCCCTCTTTCTGTATATATCTCTTATGTGATGCAAAAGTGTAGTAAGCAAATACTACATAACTTATTCTCCCACTGTGCATATAGTTCTGATTTGGAATGTGCTAAATTAAGCTTAAGAAAAATTGATATGATCTTTACTAATATAGTTTGTGTCAAACTCTATTTAATAACTATTAACGCAATAATAAATATGAAAGGAACATTACAGAGTTCAGATCTGGAGAAGTGATTCTAGAAAGCTACATTCACAAATTTATGATGTTATCTATAAGGAAGTATTACAGAAGACAAGAAATTCATATTTGTAGTCATGCTTATTTCACCTTTAAGTGCAGTTTATTTTAATTTTTCTTTATATTTAGATAAAGCTTCCATTACTTTTATTCTTATTTTAAGTTTATTTTCTTCTCAGTTTACTTTACTCCATAATGCAATAGTCCACTAATTTGATGATCAGCCTGTAATTTTATGTTATCTCTCAAATTAATTACTTGATTACATACCAGTTAGAACTAGTAGGGTCCACATATACCATAATTTTAAATGGTTTTGATTTTGCCAGTCACAACACTCAGTGCACATAACTCAGTAAAACGAGATGAAATCACTCATTTTATTTTGTAAAATACATAGGAAACCTCAAGGATAACTAGTGGGATTAATTGTAGTAATGATTTTATTTTTATTTACAGTTTTTATGTGACTTTTATGTTATTAGAGAATTTATAACCAAAAAATTCATGGACCTACAAGCAATATGGTGCATAGACATCTTAGAAAAATATGTTTAGAATCCTGATGGGGTGTTTAGACCTTATATCTAATTCTGTGGTTAATAAAGTGTTTATTTATACTTCAACTTCAGTGTTGTGGCTTGTCTCTTCCTTTCCACCTACAAAAATCACTACACCTGTCCTTCCACATACTAGGCTTAAAAATCTCTGATTGTTGTGCAGATCACATAACTGTGTGCAGTAAGTGGTAACATGATGTAATGAACAATGAGACTGGCAATAAAAAGGAGTAACTTTGCAGCTGTTCTCATAGTGTGTTTGAATTTCCTACTAACCAAAATCTGTATGTATGTTTTATGTATGTACACATGTGCATATCACATTAGTCAGAACATACAAGTTAATTAAAGCGTCTATATCCATGAGAATAAAATCATGAAATTTCAAAGAAAAAATATTAATGAGTTGTAATTACAGTTTTTCAAATAATGAATTAAAATATTTCTATTTATGTAACTGTTTTGCACAAAGCAAAAAAAAACAACTTTAATGGTATTTACAGTGTGCAACTTTAAAAAATAGGCAAAATTGATGTATAGTATTCTTTTTTGGTAAAGATTTCAAGATTTTTCAAAAGTAGATATTCCAAAATTAATACTGACCTCCTAATACAGAATGGCTTCTTTCTTTTGAGTTTTCACAATCTGCCAAAGTGATTTGAAAGCCACCAGCCTTGTGAAAACTCCCTCCTAATCTCATGTGAAACCATATAAATTTGCGTGTAATTATGCAGCAGACCCCTCCACCAATAGAAGTGCAACAATTTCATGCACAATAACGTTCTCTACATTTGCACTCATAAACCCTCATTCTTTTCCTCAGTACTCAGATGTGTTTTGAGTTTGCTGGAATTTGCAACTTTTTCAATAATCAGCTTTCACTTGATCGAGTTTGAACATACTCAATATGAATTCACAGCTTAGTGTGAAATCTTCTTCTGCTGATTTGAGTGAAGATATTCCTCACCCTAAAAACAATACCAGTAATTTAGCAGAAAATTCTTTATTAGTGGAAGACTTGACGGCTATAGTCCAATGTATTGTAGGGTCCATGATACAGCCAGAACCCTATGCTTCAGTCTCTTCCACTCAATTCCCTTCAACTTCTATCAAGCCTGAAGTTAATTTGAGTGTCTTTTTCCACCTCCATGTTTTGCTCTGAGAATGTTCATACCTGCTGAAGAACACCCTCAGTCTTCTTTGAATTTTCAAAACCTTACTACTCAGGTGTGTACAGTTTTTTTCTCCCTCCCCCATATTCTTTGATTCTTCCCATTCTTTATTATACAACCCTTCCCCTCATTTTTGTTTTCCTTCCTCCCTGACATTGCTGTACATGGCAATTCCTTTCTAGATTACCTTTGTTCCTGCAACTTTATGCCTCGTCTCCCTCACTTGACTGATCCTTATGTTCTTGCATGTGGTCAATCAAACTCCCCATTCCTTGACACCCAGTCTTTAGAGTAATTCTTGCAGTTTGGGGAGCAAATTAATTATGGGCTGTTTTGCTACTTAGTGCACAATTTTCCTGATCTCAATACTTTCTCTCTACCTTCCTTAGATACCTCTCTTCCCTACACCTTGTAACAGAAGTGCTTCACCATTACTACTAGAAACCTCTCTCCCACTACCCTTACCAGATGGACTACCATTAGATCTTTCGTGTCTCCTCTCACCAGATTCAACACCTTACACATTTTCTTGCACTCCATGTTTGTCATCTTCTACAGGAGATTCTCCAGGTTGGCAAGCAGACTACCCCACACACCTTCATCACCCACTATTTACACCACCTGGTTATCACATCTCTGGAGGGATTTAGACTTCTGCCAATAGCCATCCTTCAATCCATCTTTGAACTTTAAACAAATGAATGTACTTATAATTTTCTCAACATTAATTTACTATAGGATCCCACTAGGTGACTAGTGTTGCCTCCCAGGGTATACTTACCCCAAACCTGCATTGAACCAGAATAACTGAAAGTACCATCCACCCTGGCACTCCAAGTGCCTACTGTGAGATGGGGTGTTTTGCAAGACCATTGCACTATTTTCAGTAAGAAACCTTTCCAGACTGAAGAACCAATGGAGATCTGGCACATTCTCTGGGTTTTCCCTACACAGATTTTCTCCTCCTTGTTGAATGGAGCACAGGAGACCTTTGCACTTACCATTTCCCAACCCCTGGGATGATGTACCATGAATAATCCTCGCTAATTTGGACCTAACCACTGGGGGTAAAACATGGGGTCCATCTATGGTGAGAAGTGGGGTTGGGGTGACACCAGAGTGTAAAGCGAGTCACCCTGCCTCTAAAACTATGATACATTACAATCTTCAGGTAGAACAATGCTGCAACTCACTGTCTCATTCTTTTATATATCTGTGTATCTTACAAACCTTCCTCCTGTAGCCAAAATCTATTCAGTAGAGTCAAGGTGATCACTCTCTTTCTGGTCCATTCCACCTCACACTGAAAAACAAACAAACAACACCCCACTCTTGCAACTGGCATGTGGTCTGTAGACACTGCTGGTCAGGTGGAGGTGTATTTAATAGAGTGCCCTCCTCCTGCAGCTGGCATGAGGCCTATAGAGACCGACAATAGAGCCATACTCCCACAGCAGGAAAGGGGCTCATAATGATTGATGGTCAAGTAGAGGTTTATATAAGTGACCATACTACATGATTCTATACAGTGCCCTCTTCCTGCAACTGGCATGGAGCCTTGTAGTGTCTGATTGTAGAGGAGGTGGGTACAGATACTTATCACAAGTACCCTTCTCCCACAGTTAGTTTTGACCCATCCAGTCTGATGGTAGATGAAGTGAGTACACAACCTCACCATGCATATTGGCTATCAGACAGCTTGTTTACAAGTATACTTGGATGGCCATGCACCTATTCCATCCTTGCAACATGTTTATAGCTTTTTTGCCTCTTCTATTCTCATACATGGGTGAAGAGTATACCC